TCAGTGCGTGAGGGCTCTGTCACCACGGGAGCTCAGCTAGTCACAGTCAAAGCAGCGGTGCAAAATTGCTAGATGGAAAGTTTTCTGCTTGCTTTGTGAATATCATATGTGTGATTTGGAACGTTAGCACCGCTAGTTTAAGTTGACATCTTCAGACAAGAACTCATCACTTTTGTGCTGTGATGTATGAGCGAGGAGCAGAAATTGTCCTGCTGTCAGAGAAACCTGACAAGTGTCTCACAGAGGTGAAAATCAGCTGGCTCAAGCTACTTTGCAGAACATCATCTGCCAAGGACAGTTTGTGTTTGTGGTTAGGTAATGATATAACATTTCACAGCTAGTTTCAATGTGGGGTTCATCAGTCATCACACGAGGTGGGAGCTGCATCAGGTCCTGGTTAAATGTGACAGGAAACCATTTTTGCAACATAACACCAATTTCATATCATAGATTCATAAATAATGACTTATTCATGTCTTGTATACAATATATGTTGCGATATTCAACTGTAAAAAAAAAAACAACGTGTTACTGCTTCCTCTGTGAATTGCTCTCCATGTATTTCTTGAGGATATAATTGAAAGTGGCACACAATTTGATTTGTATTCATGAAATAGCCATGCTGCGCTCTTGTCAAGATGTTATAGTTCTTGTTCATGCAAAGTTCATGTTAAATGTTTTGACTGGACAACAAGACTACATTTTTAATGACTGGTTGTTAAGATCTTAAGCCTTTTATATTCCCAGTGGGTACATCATTATGTAGACATCTTCCAAAAGCTGGTAAATAGATAGTTCACTCTCTAACAGGTTGACTTTTTTGGCTTTAAATCCTCCAGCAGTTCAATATAATTATATACATTTTAACTGCGCTAAATGTATGAAGGGATTATTTACTTTGAGTGATTAACTTTCTTTGAAATTTCACTGAAACAACACTGACACACAGCATGCCGACTCCAGATGCTTTATCGGTTTGACAATAGTATAATAGGCTCCTAAATAAAAGAACAGTAAGAGGAGGGAAAGCTTTTATTTTTCATTGAACGAACAATCTCTGCTATGCAATTTTCACTTGAGAGAACAGGCCATTGATGGGATTTTCAATAAACCATAAAAAATCATAGGTCTTTGGCAATTGAGCTTAGTAGGTATACCATTGTGTCTGAGACCCAGATACATTTCCCCCAGCAGATCATGATTTTGCTCTTGTACATCTTGGACACAGCTCCATAGAGCTGCCACTTCAATGTTGTGGACTCTAAAAGTCACATTATGTGCTTAACAAAAAAACAAAAATGCTATCCTTGCAGAGACTTCACTGTTATTTCTGATTAGTTTTGATTTGAGAGACCTTTTACAGCAGGAAATGATTGTACATGCTGACACTAGCCTGTTGTAATGGCCTAAATAAAGGTAAGCTTACAGCAAGAAATACTTCATAGACCCCATGGCTTTTTACAGTGTAGAGAAATGCCATAGATGTACCACATAAAATGAAGCTGGGTTCAGGTGAATTCAGTCCACAATGGATGGCTTCCAGCTCTCTGAAGAAATCCCTGCCCTGCTCCTCTGCAAATGAGCCAGGATGTTAACACTGTTGACTTTAGCGGTGTAGGCGTACCAGGCTGGGAGGGGACCGCTGAGTGAGCACTGAAGTCCCTCCGGCAGTATTCAGTGTTTGTCTCTGTGACCCAGAACTACCTGCTGACAAATGTGCTACCTCATTTCAATGCTAATGTGCTGTTATGGATATTTTCATAGTGTTGCTGTCATTTATTATGATTCAGCTAACCTGTGAGGCGCCAGTTAATCCTGTAGATCCCTGCAGAGCTGCTGTGCATCAAGAGGTCATGGAGATAGTGTTTAAATTTACTCTGGCTCCCTTGTAATTCCACAGGGATGACCACAGGTGTGTAGTTTTCTCCCCTTTTATTGGTATGTGGCAACAAAGCAAAAACCAGAGGATTAACTTAAGATGCTGTTTTACATTAAAAGACTTTTTCTGATTGTTTTGTTGTTGTCATTTTTTTTGTTTTAAACTCTGCAGCTCATAGCAACTGGTCATAACCTAGAGGCTTGCAAGACACTCTCACCAACTGTGACACTTTCTGAGCATGTTTTGAAAAGACAGACAGAAAACTAAAATGTGTGTGAGATGTGGACACTGTGTAATGGAAGAAAAAACAATCTCGGAAGGCCCGGAGCTGTTCGTTTTAATAGACGCTAAGATATTGGAAAATGTATGTAGCTGTATAAGTGACAGCACAACAAGAAAACAGTGAAATATGTAAAATTAGTTGTTACTGTTGCAAAATGTCAGAGTAGAATAAAACAATTGTGCAACAGCTTGGTCAGGTCTGCATTGCAAGCCAGATGTTCACTGAAGGTGTGATAGAAGCAGAAGTTGTTTTGTGCCTTTGCAGCTAATTTGATGTATCAGACATTTTCTGGTTGCAGCCCACCATTTCATCTTTATATCTGTGTTTTTCATTAGTAGTGTATGCTGTAGTTGTAGAGGGAAAACTTTACTCTTCCTCTTCCTGCAATTTAGGCTGCAGAGGAGAAAAAAAATCCAAATTAAGTGCATTAAATCATTACATATTAATATCATGTCAGGTGTCAATAAATACTGGTGTTCATATTCATTAGCAAGTGGATTTCCCTCTTATGAGATGCAAGATGCTTTAAAAATAGACCTGGCATGTAAAGATAGCAGTGGAGAAAAGAAGCAATGAATAAACCTTGTGAGGATGCACATAAACATCTACAAACCCACTCAGAGAGGGGTGTTATGGGTAACTGTAGGGTGCTCATGCGTGCATGACAGGAGGCTGCACCAGTGAGAGGAGCTCGAGTGCTAACAACAACACTGACAATTCAGTCCAGTTAGTAGCTTGATGTTGACTCATTCTTTGCTCTATCATGTAGTCAGTGATGGGGGGTTCAGTAGCTTTGTAACTGCTATGTGCAACAGTTGCTGCTTATTTTTGTTCTTTGTGGCATTGAGGCAGAGGATTTTTGTGCTTTCACTCTGGTATGTGTTTTTGGCACTGCAGATAGGAGCTCTTGATTTACTGCAGCTTTCCTGAGTTTAAGCCAAAATTATTTTACTTATTTTAAGTAGTCTTTATGCCCACACATTCAAAATATTCACTTCAGGTTTTAGAAACAATTGATCTGTACGATTGTAAGTTTGATGATTCACAACCAACAGCCTCGTGATGACCTCATCTATTATCTGTAAATGATAAAAGGTGACACTGAAGTGAAGGCTGCTTGTGACAAACTGAGACAGCACCTGTGTTCCTGTCTTCCATCCCAGACATGTGATGGTGTTCCCCTCCTGCCTCATCTTTTCATTGACATGCTTCATATCGGCTGGCGGATCTCATCCAGAGAGCCCAGTCACTTTTCATCGCACTCTGTTTGTGGTGTTTCCAGCAGCCATCACTACAACAGTGGAAAGCCAGGACTGATGTTCATAATTGCACTTGCTGACAGCTGATCCTGAATCAGTAAAGAGAGAGTTACTCTAGGGAAGATCAATGTGACCACTGCAGACAAGTGAGACTTTGCCATATGTACAGATAAGTTTTGGTTCTGTTTTTGAAACGTTTTCCGCCACCAGATGGCACTGTGTAAGGAGTTGACTTAACTGGCCTCTGGTAGGAAGAGCAAGTGTTGCCTGTTGGTTCAATTTATGTCTAAATCACTGGGAGTGTTGTCCTGTGGGAGTACTGTTTGGATTATTGGGAACTAAGTGTTCTGAATTCATACTGCTGGTGAATTTCATGTGTGCTACATGAAACAAGGTTGGCCCAAATTCAGATTTATTGGGGGAACATGAATAAAATATTTTTAAAGTGTAGTGATGTACAACAAATGAATGACGGCTCTAAATTTCTGACCCTGTAAATGACAACTGGAAATAAGGACAAAAACCAGAGAGACCTTCTAATTACATTAACCCTGTATAGTGGAGCTTTAATACCTGAGGAGAGTTCAGGCTCTCTGCTCTCTCTACATTTCACCCTGATGCCCTTTACTCAGGTGATAACTGTGCACGACACGAAGAAGGAGGCAGCCGTCGGCGACACACTGCACACCTCAGGCTGTTTCACCAAGCATCAGTGGCCCCACATATCAACTGTTTTACAGCCTCCTGTGTGCTGCCCTGTTCCCTGCTGCATTCACATGTTGCAACAATGTCATCTCTTGGTCTGTTGTAGAACTGCATGTGTCTAAATATCTGGCGCTACTAAAATAACTGTAACATGAGCAAAATATGTAGGTTTTATTGGAAGAATGTTCCCGACCTTTAAATGAGCTGCAGTCCAGTGTAGGTCCAGAACTGAGGGGGTGAGTACTGTTGGGTGAAAAACTATGGGCTTTGGTTAAATTTAATCTGGAATGGGAAGATTACAAGGACCTCTGTGAGTGAGGTCAATTTTAGGATTTACATGGAACCATTAATCAAGTACTTCTAGTCAGCGTGTATGCAGTCATGCATCGCGCAGAATAAACATACAAATAGATAATGAATAGAGAAGTACACAGGAAGACTAAGTAAATGTCAGTTTAAATACTTTATTTTCCCTGACTACACCTTTATAGAAGATATCTGTTTAAAACGTGGTCAAACAATCCACAGCTTCTCGCCCGGAGATGACATTGTTAGATGTTCTGTGTGGAGAACATATTTTTTTAGGGGCATGTTTTAACCAGTCACCTGAGTCGGGTAAATGTAGTTCATAGGAGTTACACTTGCACGCGGGTTAAACCCACTACTCTGTCTTATTCACCTTCACATTAACAAGTAACACTTCTGCCCTGAAACCGCTTTCAGATACGATCACACGCTGATCAACCAAATGTAAAATGCAGCTCCTTTTGTGACCATCGGACAGCAGCAGGATCGTTCTGCAGCATTACTGCAAGCATGAAACTGGTGTAATCACCGACGTCAATTACTTCTCCAAAATGAGAAGCAGCGCTTTACTCACAATAAAGTGGCAAAATAAAATACGTTTTTGAAGTTGACGCTTCACGCTAGTGGAATCTGGCCATTAGGTAGCGTCAATTTGCCTATCAGTCTCAGAAATGTCACCAGTATAACTGAGTGGTGTTTACTCCGGTACAGCGACAATCCACATCAGCTGTGATCTGAAAACTGTTTTAATGTTTATGTTTAATGTTTTTCTGCAGTTTGTTGTCCGGTGTTTGGTGTCGTGTCTCAACGCGGACAGCGGGGGCGCTAGTTATCACATTGCTTCTCTGGACGTGTAAAGAAAGCACCGACGATAAAACCACGTGTAGTCTGCGCATGTGCAATGCTTATTGTTGTTGTCGGCTATTTTGGGAGATGGTAAGAAAACACGGGGGGAAGTATTATACAGTATCTCTGTACTGGGCAATATGTAAGTGCGTTTTGGTGCTTATTCATCTGAAAAACCCCGAAACGTTTGGTTGCACAATAATCACTGAGCTGGATTGTCGTTGTCATTTGACAGCTAGCATGATTTAAGAGAAGCTAACTTTATTTTGAAACTGTGAAGATACTGTATAGTTTTGAACCTGTTTAAGTTGGGGAATGTTGAACCTTTGAACCTGATTCTAATGGAGCACAACTCATGTTTTATTTCTTCATTTCATTTTTTTAGCTTGATATTGTGTATGGAGTTTTCAACTAGTATAAAATCCTGTGTTTCCAGCTGAGGCTCTCAGATGGAGACTGTGTGTGAACATACCCATGGGGGTGATGAGGAGGAAGAGCAGGCAGGAGCTGATGATGAAGCCATGCTGTGGTCCATACAAGAGGCTCTGGAGAGGCAGACCCTGCAGATAGGAGCATCAGCCTGCGGGGCCACAGCGGTGGTGGACGTGCTGAAGGCCCTTGGCACAGACGTGACCGCAGAGGAAGCTGACCACTGTGTCCAAACACGCCTGAGGAGGAACGAGTCAGCACTACCTGACTACCTGCTGTCCCGGAGTGAAGCCGGTAAATATCCTGATGATCCACAGGTTCTAAAACTACAGCTGACCTGCCCTGTGTGCTGTGAAACGTGATTGACTTCAGGATGATGCTTAGCAGTGTGGATCTGACTAAACATATCATTACATGTGAAGGAAGAGGAAATATACAGGCCAACATGTTATCAGGAAAATAATCCTTGTAAATCTTGTCCAGCTAATTTGGTTCTTTGAAAACATTTTTAAATTGTCAATGAAGACCCCTCTTATTTTGAAATAAAGGCTAAATGATTAGAGGGACTTTTCAGCAATAATCGTATGAAAACAAAACCTCAAAAGCATTTTTAATTACATAAATATTTTTCATGTAACATTTTTTTAATGTTCAAATGACAAATTCCCATTATAACGTAACATTAAAAGTCATGTTCTGGCTTCGATTAAAATCTTTTAGCTGAATTATTTTTAGTTTTTGAGTCTTTGCTCACAATTTCTAAAACAAAATATGGCTTTAGTTGGCATTGACTTTTAATTGTACGAAGAGAATGGTGGTTATTTTGCAGCTTCTTTCAGAAAACCAATGATGAGGGTCTGAATTTACCTCAAGTTTATCCTTCAGAGCAAACCTTATTCTGTCATTTACTCAAAGCTGTAACTGATGTTTTCCTTGTGTAACTTTTAATTATAGGACTGGCAGTGAGTGAAAGTTCCACAGGATAATTTGTCTCTAAATGGTACTTAAAAAGCATTCACTAAATTGGCAGATATTTCACTATAAATATGATGGGCGTGAGCTCAAAGCCACTACCCCATGATCTGTGACATTTAAGGTAATGATGCATTAATACATAAAAGATGACTTCTGTATAGTTGCATATCTTAACTCAGCTCCACTGGTTGTAATATTTCAGGTCTCACAGGTGCTAGCAGGGGTTATAACTTCCCAGTGAATCAGGCTCTGTTACGTCTTGAACCCATAAGCACAGTTGCCTGCCAGCATGACAGCTGGTTGTGCTGCCAACCAAGCACATTTAAAAGTACCCTATTGAATTAGACAAACAGTTTTATGTCTCTCAGAGGAGTGATTGTAAGTGACTTTTTCAGCTCTGGTACACAGTTTTTACACTGACATTTCAGGCATTCAGCTCAAGCTGTCATCCCACACCAGTGGAAAAGAAACACATTTACATTTTTTTTATCTTAAACATAATCAGTAACTCTAATAAACCAGATCCAGCATTTCTGTAAAAAAATAAAATAAGGATACAGTCCTTATTTTATTTGTAGGTGCAACTCACACTCAGCTCATCCAAGGGGCTGAGGCGGCCAGTAGAGGTAAGGTAATAGGTCGATTCTTCCACCTTCACCCTCACCGGCGGATCAAGCTGGTCCCCTGGCTTGCAAGCTGGATTCGAAAAGGTGCTGTTCCTGTGGCGACCATGAACATGCAGTTGACTGTATCCCAGGGAGAGGAGGTGCCTGACGCCTGGCACCATCAGCTCATATTTGGCGTCTCTTCTAATGCTGTTTTCATGACCAATCCTTTAGATGTAGGTGAGTAAAAGGAAGCAAGTGTTGTGTTTTAGTCAAATCATGTCTTCTGATGGTGATGTTTTTGATTTTTGATTTTTTTTTTGTTAAATTGTTGTAGTAAGCGAGGGAGAGATGCACCAGCGACTCTGCAGCGAATCCGTGCTGCTGATTCGTCGAGAAGACATCTTACAGCGATTAACACCTGACTGCTGTCTGTCCAGCCTCTCAGAGATCCAGTTGGACTTGCGATGGAAAGCCCTGGATGTGGAGGGTACAGTTTTGTTGCTGCATGTTTCACCTGATATACAGCTATATCTACACTTATCCATATACTACACATAAATGTCTTCCTGATTTCTTCAGGTCAGGTGACACAGATGATCCTAGATGAGGAACAGGACCAAGATCGGCCTAAATTAACACACATCACAATCCCTGCAGCATACAGTTCAGGCATCACGCTCTTCACCCTCCGACACTCAGAGTTAGGACAAGAACTTCTCAGTGCTCCCGAACTCCCTTTGTTGTGACTGGACTTGAACTCATGGACTCAAGAATAAAGACTAATTAACTGATAAAACTATGTTGATCCCAGTGTTTAGGATCCACAGTTACCCACCCTACAGAAGTGATACGGTGTGTGTGTGACTATGTGACGTGAATATCAGCAGTGAATGTCACCCATGTATTTTAATATGCATCAGAAGCAGCTTTAATTGCCAAGTTTGTTGAGCATTCAAGGAATTTGTCTCCGGCACAGAAGCTCTCAGTGTGTTTTAGGCAACAGACAATAGAATAGTGCAATCAAAGTTAGGGGAAGGGTGGGAAAAGGAGGTGAGGCAGTATTCATAAATATACATATGCATACAGTGCCTATAAAAAGTATTCACCCCCTTGGATGTTTTGCCCTTTTATTGATTATATAAATCAATCATGGCCAATATAATTTGGCTTTTTTGACCAAAAAATTACAATAATGCCTCTTTAATGTCAAAGTGAAAACAGGTTTCTCCAAAGTAATGTCAAACAAAAATATGTAATGTGAAATAAGTGACTAACTATTCACCCCCTTTAAAATGACTGATCTAATTCAACAGAGGTCTCGCCAACTGGTGCTAGTAGTCTCACAGTTAGAGAAATGGCAGTGAATGTGTCTCTTGTAGTATAAAGACACCTGTGTCTGGGAGCTCCAGTCACTGGTTAATCCGTATTCCTGGCTACCATTATACCATGAAGACAAAAGAACACTCCAAGCAGCTCAGAGAAAAGGTTATTGAAAAGTACAAGTCGGGGGATGGATACAGAAAAGTTTCCAAGGCACTGAACATCTCCAGGAGTTCAGTTAAATCCATGATCAAGAAATGGAAGGAATATGGCACATGTCTAAATCTGCCTAGATCAGACCATCCTCACAAACTGAGTGACCGTACAAGAAGGAGACTAGTGAAAGAGGTCACCAAGACACCTATGACCACTCTGAAAGAACTACAAGCTTCAGCAGCTGAGATGGGAGAGACTCTGCATACAACAACTGTTGCCCAGGCTTTTCACCAGTCAAAGCTTTATGGGAGAGTGGCAAAGAGAAAGCCACTGTTGAAGACAACTCATATTAAAGCTTGACTAGAGTTCACCAAAAGGCATGTGGGAGACTCCGTGGCCAAGTGGAAGAAAGTTCTTTGGTCTGATGAAACCAAAATGGTGTTTTTTGGCCATCAGACAAGACGCTATGTTTGGCGGACACCAAACACTGCACATCACCACAAACACACAATCCCCACTGTGAAGCATGGTGGTGGCAGCATCATGCTGTGGGGATGCTTCTCGGCAGCCGGCCCTGGAAGGCTTGTAAAGGTAGAGGATCAAATGAATGTAGCAAAATATAGGAAAATCCTGGAGGACAATCTTATTCAGTCTGCAAGAGAACTACGGTTTTGGAGAACATTTATTTTCCAGCAAGGCAGTGACCTGAAGCATACAGCGAAATTTATACAGAAATGGTTTAAAGTCAACAAGGTGAGTGTTCTGGAGTGGCCAAGTCAAAAGCCAGATGTGCAAGCCTGATTGAGACCTATCCAAACAGGCTCAGTGCTGTGACTGCAGCCAAAGGTGCATCTACTAAATACTGACTTGAAGGGGGTGAATATTTATGCAACCACTTATTTCACATTACATATTTTTGTTTAATTGTTATTACTTTGTAGAAACCTGTTTTAATTTATAAAAGGGTAAAACATCCAAGGGGATGAATACTTTTTATAGGCACTGTATATACACATTTTGAACAGCTGTCTGTCTCAACTTAGACATTTTTGCCAAAAGTGAGAGGTTCTTGGTGAATTCTCATTTTGTGGCCTTATTTTATCCTCAATAAGCCAGTAGACTTGTACAGTACAAAAATAAATGTGTCAGCCAGTAAGAGAATGTGACAAATTTGTGTGAGTGATTTAAAGGTCATATAAAATTATGCACTGAGAACATTTTTACCACTGATGTCTTGTTGTTTCCCATGCATTATTAACAAGACTGGATTACTCTTACTAGTACATCAGTCCCATCATATATGCAAGACTTGACCTTTTGAAACTGAAGAGCTTTGCGTCAGCTACACCTCACTGCCTCAGAATCTTAACTAGAACAAAAAAGTAAATCCCACCAGCCTTTCTTTGGCCACTTTACACCATTTTCCAGTTAACCTTAGGGTTGACTTTCGAATATATTCATTTCTTTAATAAGCAATGCATGGCACAGCTCCAGCTGATATACAGTATACTTATGAGTAGATGCTATATCAGCAGAGTAAACTCCTCTGACCGTGTCCAGAGTCCATATTAGAAAGTGATGGAGTTACTGCAGCCACGATGCCTCAGTACTAGCACATTAAAATAAATAAATAAAAAAAATCATCAGTCTTGTAAAGGAACCAATTCACTTTTCCATACTTGTAGTATAGTTTAAACAGCTTCCCTTGGGATGTAATTTTTTTCATTTGATTGACAAATTTCAGTAGAATTGCTGGATTATTACATAGCTTATGTATTTATTACACTTTTCACATAATGTTCTGTGGTCTGACTTGTGGTTTTTGTAACATGTGTTGCTTCCTGTCTTGGACAAGACACTGGAGTGAGGCTTTCCTGGTAATGTTTTTAAAAGAAAAAGTAATTTATCAGTGTGTCTTAGGATACATCTGTAGCATGTAACCTTTTACTGCATCAAATTTTATTTATAGGTTTAATGTAGATTTATTTAAATACATTAGAAGTATCTAAAATTTATTTTACCAAAAGAGGCATAAAAATTATGTTTTTTTTTTAAGAAACACGAAGTTTCTGGCGTCATCACCCGGCATCGATAATTAACTACATTTCCCATGATGCATTCGACAGTTACACCCCTAGGAAGTTTGAAAAATCCAAACGCTTTCCAATAATTACCAGTTGCAGCAAATTAAGGTAAGAAATAAACAAGTATGAAAGCCGTAGAGGCTCGTGTTTTCGTTTTTAGATGATGTAACACTTTTAGCTAACTTTGCGTCACGTTTTCTCACGACGTAACATTACTTCATACATCATGGTGACATATGGACTCCACGTGGTGTGTGGGGCGTAATAGCAAAGTTTGCACCTAAAGCCAGTCCGCAGGCTGACAGCAGAAGAGGCACCACTGTTCTGTCCTGAACCGGGCTCCGGCTATATTCCGCGTAACTCTTACACAAACACACACAGGTGAGTGCCGAGCATTTCACCAGCGGGTTATGTGCTAATGTTGCTCAAAGACGTTTTCTGGAAAGAGTAGCATTGATGCATTTCGATTTTGCTGTAATAGTATGTATTGAAAAACCACTGGTGTAAGTTGGAGCAAGTGAATTGGATTTGGTAGAGACTGCATCTGAAGTTAAACACCCTTCATCCCGTTGTAAATGAAATGTGCACGTATTCTTTGTATGTATGTATTCTCATTCACACTGCTTGTACGCAGGGACACTGCAAATCAGCAAATGTGCAGTTTTGTTTATATTTTTAGTATGTTGTAAATTTGGCCAGGTCTCCATTGAGATGATCTCAAGATGATCACAGTGTGACTTTGTGGTAAAACAAAGGTTAAATTAAAGGGTATCACCTTTTTTTTTTAACTGTTGTATGTGTATGCTCCCACACGGCTGCTACCAAATTTCCAATTTCCTCTGCAATTACAACAAAGGAATCAGTTTGCTCTCTGCTGTGTGTGTGTGTAAAATGAGGTAGGTAGAACTTTATTAAGGATAAGGATAATCACCGGTATTTGGCCAAGTATGTTACACACAAGGAATGTTGTTTCCGGTACAGAACCGATGGCAGCCATCTGCAGCGCCACCTCAACCGATGGCTCTACCCGTCGGGGGCAACGGGGGGGTTCAGTGTCTTGCCCAAGGACACTATGACACGTGGACTGTCGGCACCGAAATTCGAACCTTCAACCTTCTGGTTGAGAGACGACTGCTCTACACACTGCCCCACTGTCGCCTCCCCACAGTGGGGGAAGTTCCAGTGTTCCAGCAGCAGTCAAAAACAACAGAGCAAGCAACAAGACATCATAAGAACAGATAGCACACACCGATCTTGATAGACAAATTCAGAAAGCAAAAAAGACAGTACAAGCATTTCACAACAGCAAACACAACATGGATCTCTTAAAAACAAATCAAGAATCTTAAAAAACAATTCGAGAATACCCAACAAACATTTAAGAGAAAGGAACAGATATCGCTCTCACTCAAATCACAGACAGGTCAGTCTGTGGTCAGAGGGGGAGGGGCGGATGTGTACGCGTTCCTAGCATAGGTATGGCCCAGAGTTTTAATTGTGTAGGAGGGTGGCAGAGATTGGGAGGGAGGCATGGCATGGTCGAGGTCCCCGAGATAAGGATTAGGGCCTGCGGGTACTGCGTCCCCCGAGACACCGTGCACCTGCACGCAGCAGCAGAACCGGCCCTGGGATCAGTGGAGAACCGTCACCACGGACCACAGATCCTGGAGACCCCAGTGAAGTGCGTGCAGGACCTCCTCCTGTACACCCGCCGCAGCTCCGCCAGCGCGCCCAGCTTGTCCATCTTGTGCCCCAGCGCCTCACTCCAGCTCCTCTCCCAGCGCTTTGCTCCAGTTCTGCAGACTTGCCCCTCTCGTCGCATCCCCGTCGGAATCCCCGGCCACTCACAACAAGGAAGCCGACTGTTGGCAAGCAGAGCAAACAGTCGGGGCCGCGACACAAGGGTCCCCCCGAGGCAGATTCAAAAGCTTAGTGATTTAAATCATAGCCAGTGATTGGATTAATTGTGGAACACCCCCACACTGTGCAGCATTGTTCCCTTTCTACTGCATCTCATCCCTGTTATTTAAGGATACATTTTTTTTAGACGTTTCTGCTCAGACACAGGTTTGAGGTCAGTGCAGATTGTCATGGTTTGACCTCTGACCCAGTTTTGTTTGGGTTGTGAGGGTGGAGAATGGAGCACACAAGTCTGTGAACATGGTGCAAAAGTTGGAATTGCTTTTCTTAAATTGCATTTTGGGATATTTAATAATGGAGAAGCCTCAAAACCATTAAAGTTTTTATTATATTGATGAGATTACATTGATCCAAATGTGTGGACTGTTGAGCCTAACAATGTTGATGCTTGTGAAATCATCAGTAAATAAGGACGCATGTGTCTGTATAGCTCTAAAATCAACATTCTGTCTCTAACTTGTGCAAATAATAAAATAGTTGCTTAACAGAACATTAGTTTATTTCAGAAACACTGATGTGATCCAGTCACTATGTTCAGTAACTAAAACTAAAAAGAGACTGCAGCAAACCGAGCTTACAGGAGGTGGTTTGCTGTATACCAGCCTGATAATGGCTTTGTTTTTTATGGAAATGAGCCCCTGTTCTCAGTTGCTGGCAATTTGGCCTTGTCTGGTGCCCACACTGTTTAATTGTCGGCTTGTGTTTTTGTTCTAGTTGATTGGATCCTTGTTAGTGTGGCATTACAAGATGATATAAGACCCCAGGCCTCACAAAAGGTCAACGCTCCATCACAGCTTAGCAGACTCTTTTCGTTATAGGTCAATCTTTGCATGCAATTAAATGGTTACTTTATGAACAATTAAAGAAGCACCTGGTGTTCTGTAGCGAAGCCATGAAGGGGAGAATGGGGTCAGTCTAATACCACATGTTGGGAATTGTTTTGTTCAGGTACCATGGCGGAGCGGGTGCTGGTGGTCGGAAGCGGTGGACGGGAACATGCACTGGCTTGGAAGCTGGCCCAGTCACCTCAGGTTCAGCAAGTCCTCGTGGCCCCCGGTAACGCAGGCACAGCCAACTGTGGCAAGATCAGTAACTCTGGCAAGTTTACGTTCATATTTTTTCAAAGCTGTATTTATTTTATTCTCACAGGGAACTTGAGAAGCTGGAACCAAACAGAGTGCTGTTAGCTTTGTGCTGAGTTAAGCTAACATGCGCAAGAGCAGTATTAATGTTCTTATCTGTGTGCATGAAAACATAGTTCCTAAAACACTGAATGGGTCCTTTTTAACAATTAGTTTCTTCAGTGTTGGAATAAATTTAGGCCTAAGTTTATGACGCCATGTGCAACAAGAAGAGAAGTTCACACAGAAAGTAGTTAATTAAAGCATGGACTGAATTAATACTCTAATTAGCTGGGTTAAATATGTGATGGTGAACACTTGAGGAGAAAATGATTTCTAAGTGCCCACTCTCACATGATTATTTCCCCATGCAGAGGTATCAGTGAGTAACCACACCATCCTGGCTCAGTTCTGTAAAGATCACCATGTAGGGCTGGTGGTGGTCGGGCCTGAGGTTCCACTGGCAGCAGGTGAGTGAACGTTGGTGTTAACCTCTTATTTCCCCAAAACCTTTTCTTTGTCACTGTTTGATCTTATTTTGTCTCCTTCCAGGTGTTGTGGATGACCTGACAGCTGCTGGAGTGCCATGTTTTGGCCCTTCTGCCAAAGCAGCTCAGTTGGAGGCCAGCAAGAGCTTTTCCAAGGCCTTCATGGAGCGTCACGGCATCCTCACAGCCAGATACGGCTCCTTCACTGACCCCCAGAAGGCTTGCAACTACATCCGCACGTCAGTACTTTTGACAGATACAGAGGTTGTTTCTGTGGAAGAGTAGAAGTGTGCATATATAAATTTTATAATGACTAACGTATAATAAGGAAAATTCATGTCCTCCTCAACTGTCCGGCTAATAATTGAAGTACAAAATGGAAATGCTGTTTATGCTCAGACATTAATAGCATTTTGATCAGTTTGGGTTTCCAGCAGAGAAGTGGTGGTGTTTTGTTTTTCAGAGTCATTAAACACAAAAATAATGAAAAATGAAATCTTCAATGAAGTTTGTTCTCGGATGGTTTCAGGAGTTAATGATCTAAGATGTGATGATTCTCCTTCATATCAGAAGTTGCACAAAGTGATCAAACAAACAGGCTTTTGCAAACAAAATAATCCTTTATTCTCAGTGAAAACAGCAGCTGCCGCACTGTGACGGCTTTCATCCATGTGGATCCCAAACTATAGTGTGCTCCGCAAATGTTAAATGGTCCACAAAAAAAATATTTATGCTTCATATCAGCGATGCATCATGTGTTGCAGATGTGTATTCTGTGAAGAGATGCTGGTTTCCATTGCTTTTGTTTTGCCTGGGCTCTGTAGGGCTGACTTTCCTGCACTGGTGGTGAAGGCCAGCGGTCTGGCAGCAGGGAAGGGAGTCATTGTGGCAAGAGACCAGGACGAGGCCTGTCAGGCTGTGATGGACATTATGAAGGTACGAGAGCAGCAGGCATTTATCTGTGGGGTCACTGATGCTTGGAATTAGAAACTGCCCTGCAGTGTTGAGCTCATTTACTGAAGGAGAACAGTCGTTGTACACTGAGCAGCCCTGCTAGAAATATGATACATGCTGTGGACACTTTAAAGCTGATCAATTGCTACTTTAAAAATAATTATAACAGCGCACTGTGTATATGTGAAATGGGTCACTGGCAAACCCCTGAAGAATTATCACCCACATCTGCAGCTCCCCTCAGTTTGATGGAGCATTTTAATGATTTCAACTAAGTTCTGGTTTTGTAGCCACAGCTTTATTGTTTGGGTCTCCTAGTCTCTGTGGTGTTTTCACAGGCATTCAGCAGAAAACTCTCAAATCCTCTGTACACTCCCTGCTCAGCACAAGATAGCAGACAGAAAAAGCAGCTAGATCAGGGGTGGGCAAACTTTTTTGACTCGCCGGCCACAACGGGTTCTAAAATTTGACAGAGGGGCTGGGCCAGGAGCAGAAGGATGGCATGTTTGTGTGAACTAATATAAATGACATATAAAAGCCATTATATAAAAGGTTTTGGCCTTTAACAGGTAGCAAAGCATGAATATGCAAGGCTTATTATACAAATTATTTTTCATAACACAGTAGAGAAATAAACCTTCGGTTTCAGTGGGAACAGTGTTGTTGGTCTCCCTTTTTAGCCAGTGCACCAGAGTTAGTTTTGTTGTGGCTATTCTCAGGATAGATCTGAGGTGTTGGTCATTTAACATGGACCTGCGACTGGCTTTGTTGATGTTCATGACGCTGGACGTTTGGTCACACACATAGGTCAAACCAAACAATGCCAGCATCTTCTGTGCCGTCCTCTGGAGGTTTGGAAACGTGGCTTCGTTAAGTAAAGCATAAAAGTCATTCCGTTTAAGAGAGTTGAACTTCTCCTTTAAAACGAAGTCAGACTGAAGATCGATTAGTTTCAATTGCAGCTCCTGTGGTGCTGTTTCAGGGTCTTGTGACAGGGGACAGGACACCAGCTGAAGTGACTTGTCAATTTTTTTAAAAATCAGAGAACCAACGGCAGAATTCTCCGTACAGGTTGTCCAGTGATTTGCTGTATTTCTTCGCGTTTCAGGTGGCCTCTTTCTGCATGGCTAGTGTGGGAAAATGGGCAAAAGAGTTGTTTGAAATTTGTCTGGAGAATAAAGTCAGCTTGGATTTGAAGACTTTCACATTTGTGTACATGCTGTGCACAAACTGATCTTTCCCCTGTAGCTTCACGTTCAGCTCGTTTATGTGTGAAAAAATGTCCACAGCAAATGCAAAGTCACAAAGCCAGTTCTTGTCGCTCAGCTCAGGAAATTCGTCGGATTTCCCCATTAACTCCAAAAATGTGCTAATCTCCTCTTTGAGCTGTAACACTCGCTGAAACACTTTGCCCAAACTTGACCACTGGACACGAGAGTGGTAAAGTAAGTCCTGGTGATCTGCATCAGTTTCCTCCAGGAACACAATGAACTGACGGTGCTGAAGTCCCCTTACTTGTATGAAGTTAACAAGTCTTACGACTGGATTCACGATATGATTAAAATACAATACAGACTTACACAGAGATTCCTGATGAATGATGCAGTGATCTACCATCTACTGGGGGAAACGCAGGCATTGTAGGCAAAAGGCAAAACGAATGAGGTTTAATGATAACATAATTTAATAATATAAGTTGGACAAGTTTGGCAGGCCGGATTAAAAAGCCTAACGGCCTGTAGGCCGTAGTTTGCCCATACATGAGCTAGATGGTGAACGTTACAGATCAAGCAGCTAAAGAGGAGGGTAACTGTGTTTCATAGGGTAGAGTGGTCATCTCCCAACCGGAGGGTTGGAGGTTCAAATCTCGGTGCTTGCAGTCAACACGTTGAAGTGTCTTTGGGCAAGACACTGAACCTCCCTGTTGCCCCCGATCGTTAGAGCCACCGGTGTGAGTTGGCGCTGCAGATGGCTGCCTTGGTTCTGTAGCGGAAACAAATTCCTTGTGTGTAACATACTTGGCCAAATAAAGTGATTATTATTATTTACCTCAGGAGTTGGTGGAGACCAAAAACAGAGCTAACCTGCAATCACCAGGTTAACAGAAACTTGAAGTGCCTATGGCATGCTAATTTTGCTCATTTCCAGCCATTTAATGTTTAATCTTGGGTAAGTAAAGATTAGCTTGTCGCCCCTCATCACTCCAAATAGTCAAATTATTTCAGAATGATTAAACCAGAGAGTCTCGTCCTAAAAATGAGAGGATAGCAGCATAACTCCTGCTGCTGGTGTTGTCGCAAGTGGACAGCACAACAAAACGCAACGGCATTAATTAATTTGAATTTCTCCTCAACAGATTCAGTATGTACCTATTAAAAGAGATGTGTAACACTCTAAACAAAGTGGGTAATTGAGAAACCCCATATTTTAACTGGCATAATGCAGACATAGTAACTTCTCCAGCCTTACAACAATTCTCTCTAACGTTACAGAAACAAGTCATTAACAGACATGCAGCGTGTGGTTTTAAAACTTACTGTTAAGTCCCACCCAGTAGTGGAAACGTCACTGCCTTTCAAGTAGCTCCAAGGTCGGTAAATCCAACCGGTGGTTGCTGCGTCTTCCCCACATGACCACATACAGTCCCAAAGCAATGAAACTAATTCCAACAGGTAGTGTAGCACCAACAATAATATGATGGGTTGTTAATCCGCTGGTTAACCAGTATCACTTCACATGTGGCAGACACACTGGCCTCAAGCAGTCAGAACAAACAGGTACTATGCTCCAGGGGAATCCACTGTTGATGAGCTGATCACTAACCACCACTGGGGCTCCACTGGCTGGCTGCTTGTGGATTAGACCCAGTCAGGTAAAACAGGAACATTCCTGGACATGCAGTAACTTCAGGCCCCTGTGTTTTTCTCCACATCCTCTGGCCACAGTGCAGCAGCAGGAGGGAAAATGTATCCACAAAACTGCCTTTATAATGGCACTGCTGGATGTCAGGCAAACTCGCATGAACACGCAACCTGGAACGCGGAGCCTGGATTTTATGTCCATTTAAGGAAATCCTTAAACTATCACGTGATACTTTATTTTGTTAGAAAAAAGTCTTGCGAGCAAGTTTGCGAAACGTGCATAAACTGTGTTGCTTCTGCATAAAAATACTAAAACACACCTGATTTTTTTAGCTTTAGTTCTAAGATGGTAATTCACCATTGTAACATTGTAGATAAGTCAAAAAATGAGGAAAAGCGCCATGGGCTCTTTAATGAATGATAATGGGGCTCCATGTGTGCTGGGTGAGAAAATAAGCAATTGTTCACCAAAAAGTGCTTCTTTGACTTGAAATGTGAAAGTGAATTAAAGAGTTCTTGCAGGTTTAACACTTCCCCACACTGTCTGTCTTGTTTTGTTTAAAAATTAAATCCTGCAGTGAATTTTATTCTCTAGTCAGCAATTCATTTTATTTGAACCCTGCTCCACTGTGTCTTTCTCCTGTCATTGTCTTCAGCAGCCTGTCTCCCTTTATAAAGCTGCACAGCAACCTCAGGCACTGAGTCGCCAGGTTGGGGATTGTCACTAGAGTATGTTGCTGATTGTCAGAGCCAGGTTTCATCTCTTTAATGGTTTTTAGGAGACTATTACGCTCCCATTTTCAACATGTTCAAACGTATCGCACTCTCTCTGCAACATTTTGCATGGCAGGACAGAGCGTTTGGAGCTGCAGGGGAGACTGTGGTGGTTGAGGAGCTTCTGGAAGGGGAGGAAGTGTCTGTAAGTAGAACTTTTAAGAAGTATGTTGCAGAAAGTATGATTTTTTTTTCTTTTTTTTTTTCAAGCAACTGAAAAGGATGTTGATACATTTTCTTTCCCTGCTCCTGTAGTGTCTGTGCTTCACTGATGGCTCCTCGGTGTCTCCGATGCCCCCAGCACAGGATCACAAGCGGCTGCAGGATGGTGATCTGGGGCCAAACACTGGTGGCATGGGGGCTTACTGCCCCACCCCTCAGGTACTGTGGTAACAAGAAGCAGCAAACAAGGTTGTGCTATAACACCGGTGTTTGTTGGATACAGTCCATATGTGTGCAGCTGTCACAAATGAGCTCCGTGCTACTCCTGACTCAGCTGTTTGTTCTTGATGTTGTGCAGGTGAGTCAGGAGCTGCTGCAGCAGATCACAGAGACAGTCCTTCAGAAGACAGTGGACGGGATGAGGGAGGAGGGGACTCCTTACCGTGGCAAGTGCTCTTTTCTTTTGTCTAACTCTCCTGCCTCTGGACTTGTCTGTGTAGTGGGGAGTTTATATTGTTAGATGAATGAAATATGGCCTTTCTCTGTCCTTTTTCCAGGTGTGCTGTATGCCGGGCTGATGCTGACCAAACAAGGGCCAAAGGTGCTCGAGTTCAACTGTCGCTTTGGAGACCCTGAGTGCCAGGTGTGTGTCACTGATGCTGTCTGTCAGCGGATCTGGTGGATTTAAATGTAATAAGTGGTGTTGTGCTGCCACTCTGTCAGGTGCTACTGCCCCTGTTAAAGAGTGACCTGTATGAAGTGATCTTGAACACTATGAATGGCAAACTGGCCTGCAACGCCCCCGTGTGGCACCAGGACAGCTCTGCAGTCACGGTGGTAATGGCCAGCTCTGGTTACCCTGGCTCCTACAAGAAAGGAGTAGATATCACAGGTGTGCATGACATTGACACAAATGGCAAGGCTGTGATGTGCTATGACTCCCAACACATTTTGGCAGTGAAACGTCACAGCAGCTGTCATAGTGAATCAAACTAATCTTATTCACATACACAACGCACTGTACTGACTTTCCTCAGGACTTAGCTATTCAGTTTGTCATCAGAATATTTTAACCAATTCTGTAATCATCTACATTCTACACTTTGATTTAAAATAAGTTGATGTGTATCTGGCGCTGTTATCACTAGGTTTGACCCAGGTTCAGGACATGGGGCTGCAGGTTTTTCATGCTGGCACGGCTCTGAAGGAAGGAGGTGTGATCTCCAGTGGTGGGCGGGTCCTGACGGTCACTGCAGTCAGGTCATCCCTGGAGATGGCCCTGCGGGCAGCCAATCAGGGGGTGGCGACTATCGGTTTCCTGGGTGCTGTGTACCGCCGTGACATTGGCCACCGGGCCATCACTTACCTGAACCGACACAGGTGTGTGTGTGTGTGTGTGTGTAAATGTGGTACAGACCAAAAAAAGCAATGGTCTGCATGGGGGAAAAAACATTCCTTTTATGGATAAACCAGCTTCACTTGGGTGTATCTGTCATAGTTTCTTTAAATAATTTAAATAATTGTTCATTTCCATGTACGGTATATCCAACATCTGTAATTCACACCCAGAGGTTCCTTACTAGTTTTAAGACTTTTAAACCTCTTCCATAAGACTTGTTACAGTTTGACTGTATACAGACACAGTATTGCGCTGGGACTAAATGTCACAGCTCATCAGGTGACTGAGCGGTGTTTCCCTGTATCTCTAACAGAGGTCTAACCTATAAGGACAGTGGAGTGGACATCGCTGCTGGTAACAAGCTGGTGGCTATGATCAAGCCTCTGGCCAAGGCAACTTCTCGTGCTGGTAACTTTATTCTCCTCCCAAACTGAAGAAAGAAGCTTTTTGTACAACTAATTAAAATATTCTTGTGTGTTACACTGTGCAAATGTCACAAACTACACTGGGAGTTAAGGTTTTCATGTTTGCCCAGTTTCAGCATGTTTGTGACTTAGCAGAGAGGATATTGTTTTCTTCTTCTAGGTTATCTGTCTCATTAGAAAACAAATTGCTCTATTTTTAGTAATTGTAAATGCAGTGACTTTTATGTCAGTTTTAATAAATTCAGCAGCCCTAAAACAAATAGTCACATTAGAAATAATGAATGAAGCTGTACACAGGTGTGTTGTCCCCCCCACCCCAATCCCCCCCATCAGGGTGTAATGCTGAACTTGGGGGCTTTGCAGGGTTGTTTGACCTGAAGGCAGCGGGATTTGTCGACCCAATACTTGTGTCTGGGACAGACGGGGTGGGGACCAAGCTTAAGGTGGGATTAAAATTTTTACAGCCTGTTTTAGGCAGAAAATAAAGAGCATTTGCTAGTTGATCTTCTGCACTGCTTATATTCAAATATGTGGCACCTATTGCAATTGCAAAGTCCTGGAACAACATGCGTTTCTGTTAAAGTACTAAAAACCTCAACTCTCTTCAAATTGGCTTTGGTAATTATCAGATCGGAAATAATGGGGCAGCAGACAGATTCAAAGGCTGACAGTCAGGCTTCTTTAAACCCTTGAATAGAATCATAGGTTCCATCAATTTAAAGTGTGAGAGAGACGGTGTTATTTCAGAGACTTGGATGAAAGTTAGCCTAATTTTGCAGTGTTTGTCAAGGTGCCCACATTTCCCACAAGTGATCATGCTGCTTTGAATTTCATATTAAATTAAAATCTCCAGCAAAGTATCGGTCAAATGACCCTCATCTCTGTTGCTGCTGCATTTTATAATTGTAATCTATTAATGTGTTTTACGTGCATATTAATAGGAGGAAATTGGTTTTTACCCCCTCTTCTTTACTGTACATAATTGTAAATTAAGTTTTAAACTCAGCCTTTTCTGATACAAATGAATGATACCCATTTAGAACCAAAATATTAAGTGAGAGGTGACAATTAATACTGTAATCGGTTCCATATTTGATGGCCATTAGTAAGGAAAAGGTGATGGTAACTTTTCATACCACATCAATAAAGCAGGATGTATATCAAGCCAGCAGCTTTAATGAACATCAGTGTCATTTGTTTTTTAAAGTATTTTTCTTCCCACCCCAACTTTTTTGTTTTTTTTTGGGTTTTTTTTATCCTCAGGTTGCACAGGCCTGTGGGCAGCACAGCAGCCTGGGTCAGGACCTGGTGGCCATGTGTGTGAATGATGTGCTCGCTCAGGGCGCCGAGCCACTCTTCTTCCTTGACTACTTCTCCTGTGGCAGCTTGGATGTGGATGTGGCTGCCTCTGTGGTTAGCGGCATTGCTAAGGCCTGCAAGGTTGCCGGCTGTGCTTTACTAGGTGAGAGAAGACACGTCTTAATTAAAGATGATAACTGGGTGGGGTGTCCTGAAATATTTCCAAATCTGAAGTGTTATATTTCCACCTTTGAATCATGAGGTGTAGAATCTGTGCCACAGGTTGACTTTTACTTTCTGCAATTCAAAGTTGGATCTAAATGTACTGTATCTCAACTTCCGTTCTTGGTGCCACATTATGCCTCCACCTTTTTCTGTGCTCACGTCCAGGTGGTGAGACAGCAGAAATGCCAGGTGTGTATGCTCCAGGTGAGTATGACCTGGCAGGATTTTGTGTTGGGGCGGTGGAGCGCGGAGCCCTGCTGCCTAGGCTGGGGGACATCACTGAGGGGGACCTGTTGATTGGAATAGCGTCCTCTGGTGTCCATAGCAATGGCTTCAGCCTGGTCCGCAAAGTTCTGGAGAGGGCTAACCTCAGCTACAGCTCCCCTGCTCCTTTTGGCAAGCCAGGACAGACTGTTGGTGGGTTTCCTTCTTGTCACAAAGGGGGGTCCAAAGCATGCTCTTAATTTTTGTCTGCTGTACTGCAAATTTTTTTTTTTAAGTAGGTGTCAATGAGAAAATACAGCTTGTATATACACGCTGTTTTTAGCCGTGTTAGCAGCTGGATTGCCGTGATTTTTGTACACAGTTGGATCAAAATATTGTGCAACAATAAAACTAGCATAAGCTATTATTTCTTTGGTGCTAATGAACGAGTATGAGTATGCAGCAAACTAAAGATTAGCAGGTTAGCATGTTATATATTTATTCACCCAGTGCATTAATACTTTAGTTTTTAGATAATCAGCATTATCTGTTTAAGGCTAATTGATGAATGTTAGCATGCTAAAAGGGTCAACTAACAAACCTAAATTATAAGCTGGTATGTCTGTCAATATTTTAGACTCTCAATTAGACTAGACAATTATTAGCTTCAGTAGCAGTTAGTTTCATTTTAATTGCAATAAAATTTATATACATGTATTTTCTCATGAACTCTGGTGCTTCCTGACACATAGCATCTAAATTAGTTTGCAAATGAATTTTCTCCTCGGCTTTATGTAAATTTGCAGTGTCTAGAGGTCTGTTTCTGCTAAAAGTCATTGAATGATTTATTTGACAATAAATGCTAGATGACTAGTTTTATTTGTTCTACCAATGTAAACTAAATAAGTGGATGGAATAATCGGAATGCCAGCACCGACGAGGAATGTTAAATCATTTTGTATTAACACTGATATGGCTTCAAATATGCATGAAACAAGTAATTATTTCAAGTTATTTGACGCTTTTGTGATAGACAGACAAAATAAGTATATAAGTCAATTAAAGTAATGGAGTTGTAGTTGTAAGAGTAATTGTACAAGTTTAACCACTGATTTCCACTGTTTGAATGTAAATCTGCTTTCAGGGGAGGTTTTGCTGACACCAACAAAAATCTACAGTCGTCTGCTGCTGCCCATCCTGGACAGTGGTGCTGTCAAAGCTTATGCTCACATCACAGGTGGTGGACTTGTGGAGAACATCCCTCGGGTGCTTCCCCTGGAGCTGGCAGTTGATTTAGGTGAAATGAAATGGACATTTCATATGCAACATAGGTGTGTGGAAATGTTGAACACTGTCTGGAGCTACGTTTGCACTTTGGAGATCAGGTTTTTATTTATGGTTCATTTGCATTAGGAGAAAATCAGGAACAGAGACTGTTTCCTGTATACATCTATAGTTGCACGACCTTTGCACATTTAAGTCAGACAAAATGGAAGCACAGATAAACAGTCATCTGTATATTCAGATTGCCTTCACTTGTTCTACATACTCTGCTTGTCCTGAGATCACTTTCCCCATGTTGAAAATGTAGAGGTCATCTTGTAGTTGTTATTGAAGGTCCCAGCTGTGTTGTTAATAATAGGTGTTTATGCACGACTCAGATGCCTCTTGCTGGAGCATCCCCCCAGTATTTTCCTGGCTCTTCAAGGAAGGGGGCCTGAGTGAGGAGGAGATGGGCTGCACCTTCAACTGTGGCCTGGGAGTGGTGCTGGTAGTTGCACCCTGTGATGCAGAGAGGGTCCTATGCCAGCTTCAAGCACATGAAGATGCCTGGATTGTGGGTTCACTGGCCCACAAGCAGCCTGGTAAGATGGAGAAAAACTGTATAATTGAGTGTAAAACAGTACAAGACAATCAGTGGACTACAATCCAAGAAGAATAAACAAGGTAGATAATGAGAGCTGGTGAACAGCTGACAGGTTTTCTGTTTGTGTGTGCAGGGGCAGAAGCTGTGGTTGTTCGTAACCTGAGACGCAGCCTACTGAATGCAGGGCTGGCCTCCAGTAGAGAGTTGAAGCAAGATGGCAGTTCCCATAGTGATGGTAAAAAGATGCACAAAAGGACAAGAGTGGCTGTTCTCATCTCAGGCACAGGTGTGTCTTAAATAATGCATTGGCTTTCCTAGCTGTGAGTTAAATGAGAAAGCTGAAGTATGAATGAGCGAGCTTTAGTGGTTCTTGTATGTGGTGTGGTGGTGTTGGTTTTTTTTTTATTTTTTATTCCTGGAGATGGCTAGGCTAGCTGTTTCTCAATCATTGATATAGTTATGCCAGGTTAACTGGCAGCTGTATAAAATGTAATAGTGGTAATATTTTCAGATCAGTCAGCAAGAAAGCAAAAACATGTGAAAGTGTTTTTAAATGTGGGTGTCAAGATTCTTTGTTGTTTGTGTCAGGCACCAACCTACAGGCCCTGATAGAGTGGACCAAACGCCCGTTGAGCTCTGCTGAGATTGTAGTGGTCATCTCCAACAGACCAGCAGTTCAGGGCCTGAAGAGGGCATCACTTGCTGGCATTCAAACACGAGTAAGAGCAAAAGTCATGCCATAAAATAGTGTTTTTGTAGCCATAGGAGGGTAACCAGCCTGGACAAGAGTTGAGTCCTAGGCAGAGAGTTTAAAATGCAGCTTTTGGGTCAGCCTATTATTGTAAGTACTGTAGGACTAGGTTCTTGTTACCATTGCTAACTCTGAGAGACGAGACAGTCCAAGTAACTTCAAAACAGTGCTGATTTATTCAAAGGATCACAGGTAAAATTAACATTACACGCTCAGGTATCTTGCACCTCCAAACTGCTCACAGGCAGATGTAAGATGAAAGACCCTGAACCCACCAGGCCTATACATTATATCCCCTCGGTTGGGCTAGCCCCATACTACACAGAAACGTCAACCGAGACGTCTCTGTTACCAGCTTTGCAGCTGGTCATAGCAGTAGTCAAAACATGAAGCAAATCAATGTGTGTGTGTCTGTTGGTTAAGTGGTGTGTAGCTAAAAACATTCTCACACGACCTCTAGTAACATGTCGTGACTTAAACATAAGAACATATTATGGCTAAGGCTACAGTTATACACGTCATATATTAAACACCCTGTCTGCTGACAGTCATCAACTCTTCTCTCTAGTATCCTTGACCAGATGTACCCTGTAGAAACTCATAAGCATGCCTAAGCATTTAACAGTCTAACTAGACATCCTATCTCCACTAAACATTTCTAATACATAAAGTATCTATCCAATTTCTATCTGACTAAAAATACCTAACAGTACAGTGCAAGTATTGCATAGCAAAGTTAAAACAGGATTTGATTTGATTTGATTTATTTATTCTTTCAAACATGTAACAACAGTATGTAATCACACATAATTCCAGACATGTCCACAAAAATATTTTCAATTTACTTATACCTAGTACATGCTTGAACGGAGTAGGAAGAAATTAGACTTATCTAGTCCTACCCCCTAATATCATCTTATCATCATTGGTTTGCAAGCAGTATTACTACATGAATACATATTCTACTTCCCGTCTGATTAATCATTAAGCCTTTTCTTGCATATATCTTGATTGACACATACCTTTATATTTATGTTTAAACTCATCAATATTCTTACTGCTTTTTATGTCCACACTTAAATTATTCCATAGTTTTACTCCACTTATTGAAATACAGAATCTTTTTTTGGTAGTACGTATAGCATGAATTTTTAAATTTAACTGACCCCTTAAATTGTATCCCCCTTCCCTTTCATCAAATAGTTTTTGAATACCACCAGGTAATAAATCTTTCCTGGCTTTATACACCCATCTTATGCACAATTCTTATCGCTCTTTTTTGTAATATATACAATGGTTGAAGTGAGCTTTTGTATGTATTTCCCCAGTTTTCAACGCCATACTCCAAGTATGGTAAAATCAGTGAAGAATACAAAATACGTAGTGCTTTCCTGTCCAAAATATGTCTGACCCTCGCCAGGATGAATTAAATATTGGTGAAGAATCATGCTGTATTGAAATTGTGGACTCTAAATGAAAGCCTTGGCGCATTGTGAAAATAGTATTGCACTCAGCAGGAGGCTGGGTTGATCCAGCTATTGGCCATGTGGCCTTCAGCTATGTCACAATCTCTCAGGGCACCCGTGTCTTGAAGCGTGTCATGCAAGTGAGTCCTCTTGAGGTTATGAGCTGGCACCAGGTAGGGAATTCACTGGAGTAAGGAAGCTGGCAGTCAGCTGACTGCAGCCAACAGTTACTGATGCCATATAACTGAGGCGAGGTGTCACCACAGGGCAAAATCATATGCAGTATGGTGAGCGGGGGGGGGGCCCCCCCCCCCCCCCCCAACCCGTTCTAGTGTGAGGGCCAGCCATTCGGTAGAACAGGCTTACTCCAGTGATTCACTGCTTACTCTGGTGATTGGTGATTTCCCTACCTGGTGCCAGCTCATTACCTCAAGAGGACTCAGCTGCTTCTGTGTGATCCCCACTAGGTAGTAGACCACAAGCTGTACGGGAGCCGAGCAGAGTTTGATGCCACCATTAATCATGTGCTGGAGGACTTTGGAGTGGAGCTGGTGTGTCTGGCTGGATTCATGAGGATCCTCACAGGAGCCTTTGTGAAGAAATGGAACGGTATGAAAATAGTGTACAGGTGTCATTACTTTCTATTTGTACAGACACACATCATCAGCATGGGTTTGCTCTTTTGACAGGGAAACTGTTGAACATCCATCCATCTTTGCTGCCAGCATTCAAGGGAGTCGATGCCCAGAGACAGGCACTGCAGGCTGGGGTGAGGATTTCTGGCTGTACAGTCCACTTTGTGGCAGTAAGTAAAACCAACACCTGCCTTTAAACTTTTAATAGTAAAACCTTAAACTATTTCACGTTACTAGTTACATTTACAATTCTAATAGTTTAGAGTTGATTAACTATTGCCTTTAAAAGCTTTTATTGATGATAGTACTTTTTTTTTTATAAACTAGAATGTGCTATATCAATAAACCTGCCTTACCTTTAATGTCCCCACATAGGAGGAGGTGGATGCAGGTGCTATCATCATGCAAGAAGCAGTGCCCGTGCTGTTTGACGACTCCAATGAGACACTATCAGACAGAATCAGAGAAGCCGAACACCGTGCTTTCCCTGCTGCTCTGGAGTTAGTGGCCAGTGGCCAGGTCAGGCTCTCAGAGGATGGACACATCTTGTGGAAGTCACACTCACAGAATTAGTGGAACTTGTTCAGAAAAGACATACTTGAGAATAAAATTACATTCCAGTTGTAAGTGTTGAATCTTTTACTTTGTCTCTAATCGAATTAACTACATCCACATTGTACAGTTGTCCTATTTCACAGTGATATCAGGGAGTATGTGTTGCATTCTAACAATTTTTAGGGGCCTCACTGGCACAGAATGTAACTTGCAGATTTCACAATTGCCATCACACTGCTCATTTACATAATCTGGTAGCATAACTGTTAAGATGTATTGTGTTACATAACTGCAGTGGCATTCAGCTGACACCCATAATCTTATGACCACACATTAACTAACCCAGCTGCAGGAAACTGTTAAAAACAAAAGAGCCTCTAATGTGGTTGCTTACACCTTATACGGTTGAGTGCAAAAGTTTGCCTCCCATTACTTTGAAATGGCAAAAAGATTTTTTTCCCTTCAACATTTAATGCATGTTCAGCTAGTGCACATTCCTTTGTCATCAGTAGTAACAAAAATGGTCAGGGAGTGTATAAAAAGTTATGGTAAAATAATGAAAATCGTATCAGTGCACACATTTGTATTCCCCTTTATGAAATCTCTAATACTGTGTATGTCCTCTCTCACCTCCTCCAACTTCTTTGGGTTCCCTTTGAGCAGCACTTGGATCCTTTCAGGTGTAATTTTAGCCCATTGTTCACAGTATACTTGTTCCAGATCTACCAGGTTGCTTCTTTAGCACCTGACCCACGTAACTTATCTTTTGTAGGGTAAGATATATTAACTTGAAAACAGCATTTTCTTCAGAAAATGCATATGGATGCTGAGTGCTGAAAATTCGCCCTGAAAATGCTGAACATTTTTACACCTGAATGCTTTTGCTAGCTGTAAGTATGCAAATATGCATTCCCCAAACCCCTTATATACACATTTGTGTAAAGTCCTGTATTCAAAATCAACACCACAATTCTGGTAGTCAGGTGTCTGGTGAGATGATGCTTCTGGCTTTACAGGATTCCACTGGGTGTCGACCAGTCAGGCCCAGCAACGCTGTGTCTGCAGACAGGCAACCTCCACTCCAAATAAATCCAGGTCCTCCTTACTTTTGTTTGTTTTTATTTAAGATTACAACAGCAAAATACATAGACTTTTTCAAATAGCATGAATGAATACAGATATTTGATGTCAGATCAAACCTTTACAGTATTGTTCAAAATAATAGCAGTACAATGTGACTAACCAGAATAATCCAGGTTTTTAGTATATTTTTTTATTGCTACATGGCAAACAAGTTACCAGTAGGTGCAGTAGATTCTCAGAAAGCAAACAAGACCCAGCATTCATGATATGCACGCTCTTAAGGCTGTGCAATTGGGCAATTAGTTGAAAGGGGTGTGTTCAAAAAAATAGCAGTGTCTGCCGTTGACTGTACAAACACAAAACTATGTTGTACAAACGTTTTTGTTTCTAGGATTTAGCAATCCTGTGAATCACTAAACTAATATTTAGTTGTATGACCACAGTTTTTTATAACTGCTTCACATCTGTGTGGCATGGAGTCAACCAACTTGTGGCACCTTTCAGCTGTTATTCCACTCCATGATTCTTTAACAACATTCCACAATTCATTTACATTTCTTGGTTTTGCTTCAGAAACAGCATTTTTGATATCACCCCACAAGTTCTCGATTGGATTAAGGTCCGGGGATTGGGCTGGCCACTCCATAACATTAATTTTGTTGGTTTGGAACCAAGACTTTGCTCGTTTACTAGTGTGTTTGGGGTCATTGTCTTGTTGAAACAACCATTTCAAGGGCATGTCCTCTTCAGCATAAGGCAACATGACCTCTTCAAGTATTTTGACATATGCAAACTGATCCATGATCCCTGGTATGCGATAAATAGGCCCAACACCATAGTAGGAGAAACATGCCCATATCATGATGCTTGCACCACCATGCTTCACTGTCTTCACTGTGTACTGTGGCTTGAATTCAGAGTTTGGGGGTCGTCTCACAAACTGTCTGTGGCCCTTGGACCCAAAAAGAACAATTTTACTCTCATCAGTCCACAAAATGTTTCTCCATTTCTCTTTAGGCCAGTTGATGTGTTCTTTGGCAAATTGTAACCTCTTCTGCACGTGCCTTTTTTTTAACAGAGGGACTTTGCGGGGGATTCTTGAAAATAGATTAGCTTCACACAGACGTCTTCTAACTGTCACAGTACTTACAGGTAACTCCAGACTGTCTTTGATCATCCTGGAGCTGATCATTGGCTGGGCCTTTGCCATTCTGGTTATTCTTCGATCCATTTTGATGGTTGTCTTCCGTTTTCTTCCACGTCTCTCTGGTTTTGCTCTCCATTTTCAGGCATTGGAGATCATTTTAGCTGAACAGCCTATAATTTTTTGCACCTCTTTATAGGTTTTCCCCTCTCCAATCAACTTTTTAATCAAAGTACGCTGTTCTTCTGAACAATGTCTTGAACGACCCCATTTTCCTCAGGCTTTCAAATGCATGTTCAACAAGTGCTGGCTTCATCCTTAAATAGGGGCCACCTGATTCACACCTGTTATTTCACAAAATTGATGACCTCACTGATTGAATGCCACACTGCTATTTTTTTGAACACACCCCTTTCAACTAATTGCCCAATTGCACAGCCTTAAGAGCGTGCATATCATGAATGCTGGGTCTTGTTTGCTTTCTGAGAATCTACTGCACCTACTGGTAACTTGTTTGCCATGTAGCAATAAAAAAATATACTAAAAACCTGGATTATTCTGGTTAGTCACATTGTACTGCTATTATTTTGAACAATACTGTATATAAACCTGGACAAGCCTGGAATAACAAAGCAACATCTATAGTGCTCTTGTTTTTCAGGTCCAATTTTTATGTATTTATTCTTTTTATACATTTCTCCTTTCTCAAGAATAAAATATGAATTTAAAGTGAGCATTATCAATATATTTATGAGTTATGTAAATTATGAGCCAATGGTTGATCTATGACTGGAAAAAAGGTCAAATTAAATATTTTCAAAAATTTTTTAATAAAATGTGGGAGAAAAATTCTGCTTAAACAATATTCTATTACTAATCAATGTTTTTTGCAAGTACAATATTTCCAAATTTATGACCAGTTAGCAAAAATATAGAATTAGATGGTGTCTACTGCCAATTGGATTTATCAGAAGACAGGACAGAGCGGGAGAGCAGAGAGACTCTCAGATCAATAAAGATAAGCAGATCAGGTACCACTAACCTGATTGTCCAAAAACAAGGGCTATTAATTATTAAGGGTTATTAATTCAAGGCTTGTTGTGATAGACTTAACCACTACCCTTCTTACTTATCTCCTACATTAGACTGGTTTTTATTTAAGGACAAAGGGGTGTGTGGGGGGTGGGGGAAATGTGTTCCAAGAAATAGGTTCATCAAAGTGTTTCAAAATTCAACAAGCTGTCCAAAATTCCAAAAAACAGAGTGTGACAAGAAAGATAGAATTTCTGTTAAACATGGGTACAAGAGAGGTATCGGACAGCAGGGCACCTGTAAAACAAAATGAAATATTCATTAGAATTCTTTTCTAAAAATGAAATTCAAATAAGCAACTTTTACTTCAAATTTCAGTGTTCAACTGCAAACCCTTCTATTCTCCCCAAGAATTTTCGGAGCTTCTTACTAGTGGGTGCCTATTTAAAGCCGCAGGCCCACGCTAGCACACTACAGCCCCTGGCAGAACAGATAACTAGCCTGGAGCTAGAACATCCCGACTCTCCACTCATTGTTCTATATTTCACAGAGCAAATCTCACCCACGAACTGCCCAAATACAGACAGCACATCACCTGTCCCACCAGGGACAAAATCATACTGGACCACTGCTACACAAGAAAAGACACCTATCGCTCTGTCCCCCGTGCAGGCCTCGGACTCTGGTCACTGTATGGTCCATCTTATTCCAACCTACAGGCAGAAACTTAAAGCTGCGAAGCCTGTGGACAAAACAGTGAAGAGCTGGACTGAGGAGGCTAAGTCAGAGCTACAGGCCTGCTTTGACTGCACAGACTGGAGTGTATTTGAGACTGCAGTTACAGACCTGGATGAACTCACTGACACTGTGACATCTTATAACAGTTTCTGTGAGGATGTGTGTGTGCCCAAAAAGGTCTTCTGCACATACAAAAACAACATGCCCTGGTTTACAGCCAGACTCAAGCAGCTTCATTGTGCCACGGAGGAGGCCTACAGGTCTGAGGACAGGACTCTTTACAGCCAGGCAAGAACACACTGACAAGGGAGATCAGAGCTACAAAGAGGAGCTACTCTGAAAAGCTGAAAGCTCAGGTTTCAGCCAACGACCCCTCGTCTGTGTGGGGGAGCCTGAAAAACATCACTGGCTATAGGAAACCATCCCCTCGCTGTGGAGGACTGTCAACTAGCAAATGACCTGAATGTACTCTACTACAGGTTTGACAAACACTCCCCCCTCACCCTCCCCACCTCAGTCCCAGCAGCTGCTCCCCGACAATCACCACCCTTCCCTCCAGCCCCCCACCTCTAACGATCTGTGAAAAGGATGTGCGTGGCCTCTTTAAAAGACAAAGGACCAGAAAGGCACCAGGCCCAGACGCTGTGACCCCCTCCTGCTTGAAAGTGTGTGCTGATCAGCTGGCCCCCAA